AATTATTCTTATGCTAACTACAACAATGATATAACATATTTACGTCATGATGCTCATGCTCGAGATGTACGACCTCAGCCCAAACGCAAGAGGGGAAAAAGGATCTCATCAATACTCTAGAGCATTTATTTGTTTTTTGTGTTAGAGCTCAAAAAGTTTGGAAGCTAGCCCCAGTTTCTTGGGATTGGAGTAAAATGAAGAAAGGGAATTTTGGCGACCGGTGGTCTTATGTATCTTCAGCCAAAACAAAGAATGTAACTTACCAAAAAAGACTTCAACAGTTCACGGTTTACATTTATGGTGGCTATGGAAAACTCGCAATATGTGGGTTTTTTAAGGAATTTGGAAGGAGGAAGAGTGGCTGGTTGCTCATGCGTCGAGCGAGTGGTTGGAGTTCGAGGGAGCGTTTTTTGGTTCTTCTTTTTAACTTTTGTCTGTTTGCTTGTTGTTCGATGTTGCTGGGCTAGAAAGTCTCTGGATTTCAGTGGTGCTTAATATCTGTTTTTGGTCAAGTTTCTCTTTGGTTTTGCGGCTTTGGTGGTTGTTTGAGGTGGTGTTCCCTTGAGCTGCGTGGGTAGTTTTTGTTGGGGTCTTCTGTTTCTGTTAGATGTTGCTGGGCAAGTAATTTCACTAGAATCATACCCAAGTTCTTACAAGAAACCATAAAGAAGTCACAAGGGAGTTTTTTTCAGGCTCGATATTAGAATAAAAATTTTCACCATTGTTATTTGAAATGAAGTTCATGCAGAGAAGGTAATAAATATATCGACTGCTGCAGCAACAAATGGTAATTGAACAACTCCTGGGAATTAAGAATTTGGCTTCATTTATATATTAGATTGCACTAATGAAAATCAATATAAAACACAATCCAGTAACCACGACGCCAAATCCTAGATCGCAAACCAGCAAGAAAAACAGAACTTAAAAACAAATTAAGAAATACCGACAAAAAAAAATCCGCCAAATGGAGATAAAGAAGAGTTCAATTTCACTGTTTCCCTTCTTCAGGTTTGGGAGCCTCTTTGATATCATCAGCTCCTTCATCCTGCACATCAATGTGTTTAATATACAAACAAAATTAAGCAAATGTAAAGATAATTTAAGCTCAACTGCAGCTCCCATTCTCAGAATCTCTGTTTCAGTGAGGTTAAACTATGAGCTGAAGTGGGACTAACAGAGTGGGGTTATGTGACACAGAGTTCTATGTTTGATGGTTTCTTAAAAGCTGCCCATGATAGTATCCAATTTGTGAAGTACAAACATTTGTAGATGGGTTATTAGTAATTTTGAGAGCTGTGAGTCTTAAACACACACATTAGGCTAGTAATCGTGATTGTTTATCCTTTCAAAGATACACTGATAAGTATTATGTGACGATATTTTAAGGAAAAATACCTGCATGTCGGAGGTCCATAGGGTGAGATTGTCACGGAGAAGTTGCATAATCAAGGTGCTGTCTTTATAGGACTCCTCGCCCAGTGTATCCAACTCCGCAATGGCTTCATCAAAAGCCTGCACAAATGGCAGATGAACGTAATTAGGCATCATAAATTTAGCTAGCATTTCGTAAGAGTAGCCGAATTTAAGGAATTTCCATATGTTGTGATGGTTTTCCTTTGTTTTTTTCTGTTTAGTAATTAACATATAGGAAAAGCTGCATAATGCTTTTTCATATTATTTACCTGTTTTGCAAGATTGCAAGCACGGTCAGGGGAGTTCAAAATTTCGTAGTAGAATACTGAGAAGTTCAGGGCCAATCCGAGACGGATAGGGTGAGTTGGGGCTAGATCCACATTAGCAATGTCCTGCACAAAGTCATTAACTTTTCTGCATTATTAAATGAATCCAGATCACAGGTTAAGAATGTTGACACACAATCACACAAAGATTGTCATTAGTAAATATTGTCAGTCTTATTAATAAGCACAGTACTCAATTAAAAGTTCACACACAATCACACAAAGATGTCAATATAGTTTAAGGATGCACATATTTGATGATATACCAACAATCCATTTTCTATACAGTTCAGATAACAATCACGTATAATAAATGATGAGTCTCTCTAGACATCGCCAACATTGATAATCCATCAGATTTGCATAAAGGAGAAGAGGAGAAAGAAACCTGAGCAGCCTTGTAGGCAGTGAGAGTGCTCTCGGCAGCCTCCTTCCTCTCGGCACCGGTCTTGAACTCGGCCAGGTACCTGTGATAGTCGCCCTTCATCTTGAGGTAGAAGACCTTGGAATCTCCGGCGTTCGCGGAGGGGATGAGCCTGTCGTCGAGCAGTTTGAGGATGCCGTCGCAGATGTTGGAGAGCTCCGACTCGATCTTGGATCTGTAGCCCTTGATGGTGGTGACGTGTTCGTCGTTCCCTCTCGACTCCTCCTTCTGCTCGATGGACGATATAATGCGCCACGAGGCCCGCCTGGCGCCGATGACGTTCTTGTAGGCGACGGACAGCAGGTTGCGCTCCTCCACCGTGAGCTCCTCCTTGTCCTGCAGCGACGCCGAGACCTTCTCCATGAACTCGACCATCTCCTCGTATCTCTCCGCCTGCTCGGCCAGCTTCGCCATGTAAACGTTCTCCTCACGCGCCGACGCCATGTCGATGATCGATGTCTTCTGCGATTTGCTGCGGAATAGGGGAGGGGGAGAATGTGGGGATTGTTGGGATGGAAGGGTATAAATTTTGGGAGCTGCTGTGATTACGAGAGTGAATAATAAATGAAATTGGGCAAAATTAGGGTTTGTTGAAAATGATGGGAAAGGAGAAGATTGAGGAGATGTGCGGTGGAATTTGGAAGGTGTTGCTGGAGATGCGGGAGCCTCCTACGACGTGCTCCTCCTCCACTGCCTCAGCCCATACACAGTTTTTGAATTATTCATTCTTATATAGTACGAGTTATAGTATAGGGAAATGCTATGTTTTTTAACCGTTCCGGTTAAAATACCTAACGGAATGATACCGTAACGAGACCATATCATTTCTCTATAGTAAAGTCTAACTAGTAAGTAATATACATGTGCCTCAAAAATACATTTTTTTTTAAAAAAAAATGCAATTTTCGTTTTGTAGGTAGAGCCGTAGAGGTGGCCATTTGGTGGGCCCCTGCCCAGCCCGGCGGGTCGCGGGGCCTGAAAACCGGCTGAGATGTAGTACGGCCAGTTCGTGACCTCACAGAAAAAAAAAATAATAATTTTGAATGTCGGCCTGTCTTCGGGCTCGGAACTGGCCTAGAACCAGCGGGTCACAACAAAAAAACCAAGACATGGAATGGCTCATTCAGTCATTTGTAGCATAGGTCTCGTTCAATGGCCCGTGCATACGGGCCGAGTCCGGGCTGACACTGGCCACCTCTATTATGTTACACAATTTCCCAAAGGTTCCTTTATGTGTGGCCTAAATTCGGCGGCCTCGGGTAGGGCCCACGGGTCGCCGGTAAATTTTTATTTTTTTATTTTGTGAAAATAGTATAGTTATTAATTATTCTAGGAGGGGTAAAAGATATGGATTATGGCATAGTTGAAATATTATAATTTTTAAAAATCATATTTTAACTTGTTATATGTCAATTAAGTTTCACACGTATCTTTTATTCTGGTAACAAAAGTCTTCGTTGTTCGCTTAACTTATTTACCTTAATGAATGATTATGGTTTGATGCATTCAACATTCTGCTCCTTGTCGTCGTCATTGGTTTTACCAACTTCAGTAGTAGTACTAAAAATATTTGAATCATCATCTTCCTCTTCAGCTCGGATGGTCATTTGTGCTCTTCTTTCATCCTTCTTTCAATTGCTCATCAAGATTTGTGCCTCTAAGTTTTGTCATGTTAATCTCGATCTTTGTTCTTTGTTCTTTAGTAATGTATCCTCCTTGCTAAATGTTTGTTTAACTGTCATACTTGAGGCCAAGACAACAAAAATCTTCTTTAATACAAGGTCTTCATTTTTTACCACAAATCCAGAACTCGAGTGGTGGTTTAGGTGGTCTGTCCACCGTAACTCTGATTTTTTCCGATCAAGTAGTGATCGAGCTCATCATATCCCGTCCTCTTCCTTCTCGCATTTACTCTGTGAGCTATCGACATCGAATGACAGCCCAATCCTCAAAGATTCAACAATACATAATAATAGGGGAGGGCGCAGTCTGGACGGTACGGGATTCAACATGTCCCAGTATCTATTCGGCTTTTATAAATCGATACAAGAATGATCCGGGACGAGATACCGTCCCAAATGGACCAATATCATTTAGGACCGGGATAAAATGGAACAAAAAAAATATATAAATAAATAAACACAACCAAAGAGTACTGATTCCATTAAAACAAACAATCAACATACTAATATCACTAATAGTTTAAACAAACATACTGTCATACCTAATTCAAGTATTCGCTTAAACTAAAGACTAAAGAGTATTGAATTTTGATTCAATAATATCCATTAAAACAACATACTCTAAAATAAGTTCACTTAAACCAAACACATACATATTCCATTAAGTACTTATTGTCTTAAGATATAAAGAATATGACGAAAATACGCAAAAATATGAAAATAATACAAAAAATATAAGAACGAGCTAAACTAATCTAATGTTCTGAAAAACTTTATTATGAGCTTATTGAGCTCGACTCAGACCTACAAACATACACACACAAAAATAATAATAATAACAACAAAAACACAGAGTATTTTTTAACATTACGTATAACATTTTCTAAGTGTTCTGTGCAATTACAAAGCAAAATACACGACAGACGCCATCACTACACAATTTAGGTGAATCCATACGCATAAGCTATGCTGGACAGTTTTTTAGGCAGGGGTATCATTTTGCTAATAGATAAAATAAAAAGTACATTAAATTACAAATCCAAAATGACCATGATATTGTAGACTTTTTTATTTAGTATATCAAAAGGAAGGCCTTTCTCATCGGATACTTAAAAATAAACAAAATGTAGTTACCGGCTTCTGTGCCTGAGTCTAACAGAAGCCTGAGTAGTTGTTTAGGTCACCCCACACTTTTTCCTCAACTTCTTCCCATGAGTTTGCTGTCCTCAGTTCTTTCCAGAGGCTGAAAATGGCTCCCAAAACATTCTCCTCGTGCAAAATGCAATAACACCTAATAACCCAATGAAAAACATGAAATTTCTCGTAACAAATTATCGGCAAACTAATAGTGGGTCTGGCAAAGCTAATCAGACAATCTTCCAAGGACAAAATGTTAGGAGCTTACATTGTTCTGTAAGAGAGTTGGCCAAATCTTTTGCCCTCGACCACCTTCGCTGATGAAGTCTTTCTCGTTAAGGGAAGCTTATAGCTCTTAAGGAACTGTTTCAAGAGATGAAAATCTCCTCGGAATACATCAAGATATAATGGGATTAAGTCGAGTATAGGTTCCCCTGCAGAATTTCCAGTCAGGTCACGGAGCTTGTGTTTACACTCAGGAACATAAAATTATTATTAACTATTTAAGAATGAACTTCAGCTTTAAAACGTATTATTTTTTTACATAAAATTTTTTAGACGAGATGAAGAGTTCATGATTCTCATGGGCAAAATAGGCCAGGTTTACTTTATGATTACACTATATCGTGTATTCACTTTGTTGTTCCACATGCAAAAAGTCCATAATACACTGTTGTTCCACATGCAAAAAGTCCATGCATGTCCTTAAGAACGCCGTTCACTCCCTCAAAATTAACTTATTGTTTTTAATGGTAAACATAAGTAAACATGAACATCGATCACCATTCATGCCCTAAAGAAGATAAAACAAGTCAAACCTACTAAAGAGTTTCCAAAGATCACTAGTAAAAGGGTTAATAATAGTAAATACTGCAAATATGTATATTTTAATTCTGTGACGTTAAAAAAAAAAAAAGAAAAATTATGCAAGTAAATATAAAATTCAGGAAAGAAACTCACCTATAGTTAAATCACTAAAATCAAGGATGTGGCTTGGGGACCAGGTATCCTTTTCTCTGTGGTGGTTAGAATCTGCCACAAGCGGATTTTCTGCCAGACGAGATTCATTACATTTCCCTGATAAAGATGCTGAGGGGCAAGGTGTCATGTAGATATTATCGTCCATGACATCAGAGTGTATCCAGGTCCAAGATTTCAAAATCTCTGTGTCATTCTTCAGAGGAAGAGAAAAAATGTAGGTACCAATGACGAATGTTGGATGTTGGGAAAAATACTTCAATTATGAACTAAACAAAGTATTACCTCATAAATATCAAATAGCAGGGTTAAGTCATGTGGGATGTATTCGTCAACTTTCTCTATCAGGTTGCCCGGAATTGGATCACCCCTGCAGATATTAGAGGGAATAAAAAAAATGCAGATATTCATCAATAGATCAGTCCTTGTAATTGCAGTAAAATACAAAAAACTTAAAGAAAAAGATATTGCAGCCTCAAGTCCCAAGTTAGATATTTTCTTACTATGGACACACAAGTATGTAGGCTGTATATTAATACACCATTAATCAAATAGGGTATGTTAACCCAAGTTTGATGGATATTACATTGTGAAGCGAAGATACTTCTACCATTTTATGAGCTGGAGATGGAACATTTAGACACGAAAGGTCATACCAAAGTCTCAGTTAAAACAACACTATTCAAAGCATATGCAACTCAGAGGCTCTTCGCTGGTTTGACCAACTCATAGACATTGCTAGATCTGTAAATTCCAATATTGCATTTCTTTTGCAACGAATTTGATGTTAGTGTCCTTTTCTAGGAAACATTACAACATGAATAATTTACACGAACCAAATCCATTTTCAAGAACTTGCAAGAAAAAATTAAAATTCCATTTTCTTAAATTTTTATATTGAATCAGGTTCAGTGTCAACTTTTTTCATGAACTTTTGTAACTGAATAAGGTCCAAACTTAACCTCTTAATCTAAAAGAGATAGATGGAAGTCACTAGAAAGATAGAGGAATTAGTTGTCATTTAAGTAATTCCAGTGTTCTTTCTCATTGACCCTGATTTCATTTTCTTATCCTAACCATGTGTATTTTAATGCATCAGCAAGAGAGAGAGAGAGAGAGAGAGAGAGAGAGAGAGTAACACAAATATACAAAGCTTAACTATGTGAATCTAAGAACCAGCATGTCATAATAGAAAGAATCTCATACCATTCAGACAAACGTGTCATTATACCCTTTCTTTTCCGGTTTAGAGTCGTGATAAACAATTTCCATTCAGCTGAATGGTCAATCTTAATGGCGTTCCTATTACCATGGGATGGACAAGGGACAGGCAGAACATGAAGGTCATGCAGCTGCTCACCCAGAAAGGAAGCCAAATTGAGAACGTTTTCAAACGAGAGGGTATCTCTACTGCAAATCAAACATTGTAAGATCCAGGTATAAGTTTCAGCAAGGATTCAAATGCTAATTTATATAGAATTAGAATAACTACTCACAGGTCCGCAAAGATCCTCCCCCTGCATCTTTTTGTCACAATGTACGGCCACACGAATGATCTTTTACCACAATCTCCGGACTTGTGTAACGGCTTTCCAGCATTTTGATATTCGAACTGTTTTTTGCCCCAAACACCAAATGGGTAATCAACATCTGTTTGGTTTACTGAAATGAGATTGCTGGAGGCAATCACTTCAGGTATGCCTCTACCATCCCAGGGAAAGACTCTATACGATCCATTTTCGGAAATGAGAATCCCACTTTCCAGTACAGAAGGAATGCAATTCTTTAAAGAGGAATTCTGATGATTTAGTAGATTTTGAAATTCAAGCTGAACAAAATTGGAAAAGAAAGAAACGATGAAACAAGAATTGCAGGTGAAGGGCAAGGAAAGTACTAACAGCTTAATAACCCCCATCTTACCTCAGTGCCTAACCCATATAGTGAAGCTTCAAGCCCTCCTTCAGCAAATATTTTTATCACATAGTCGTCAATGAGATAAACCTGTAATAGAACACATAGTTCTAGTCAGTATGGAATACCCTTATACTTACCTAGCTAAACAAACAAAATAATATCTATGACATAAAATATCAGACTTTTACTGAGAATAAATTATCAGTAGACACTCTTCTAAAACAAGGCATATTAATAATTAGTAAGTACACCAACATAATGTAGGCATCAATTTTATTTTATTCTTTTTTTTTTTAAAAAAAAAAAAGCTTTCTGAGATAAGGATCATAGAATTCCAAAGAGTGCCTGACTTGAGTGGAATAAAAAAACTACTATAACAACTACCCCATAGAAGCACCATTTTTAATATAGAACTTACAGGATTGCTGCCTGTGCCAACTGGAAGTTTCTCATCGTGCAGAGGTGAAGGTAACTCGTGAAAGACACAAATTGCTTCCACCCGATCATACCATTTTCCAGCATTGAGAGCAAGACAAGCTCCCTAACACATGATACAAGGGATTCAGAAGTAATAAGTCATGATTCAAGCAATCTAAGAAATACTATAATTAGAACCTCCAATAACCAGTACAGGCGATTATTTATGGGGTTATTTTTCAATCGTTTTACATTACTCGGTAATTAGTTATAATTCTTATATTCAAAGCTAGTTCTAGCTAATTTTATATAAATTCATTATCTCATTTTCTATATGTTACAAAGGCGAAGGGTTATAAATTGGTCTAATGACAATGGCAAACTGCTAGTGCACAAACGCCAAGGTGTGTCGCCATATTCTTGACGCCTGATAAAGTAAAGAGCAATAGATAAGAAAAGAAATGATAATTATGTTAGTAGGGAACTGAACTTTATTGGATGGAAGGGAGAAAAGGAATACAAGCCCCGGGATAGTACCCGATGGTTGAATCTTACCCAGCCACTAGGCTGATTACAATGGTAACTCTAGTCTGTCCACTCCCAAGTCCCAATCCATTATTTATAAACAATATTCCATAATACTATCCTCCTAATATATATGCTAGATTCAAGAATATCCCATAATTCCAACCCTAAATTATTAGCTAACATAATGGAAAGTCATCAATCAAGTGGAGTATCCTCTACTTTCTTTCTTCGGGTATAAACCAAAAAGGTAGGTGGTTGATTCTCTCTATCATACTCCCCTCATTTGAAACAGCCTTGTCCTCAAGGCTAAAAGAAGGAATTTATCCACTGGAATCAGCTTCATCTCCAGGTGGCATCCTTCTTGGTCTGTCCGCTCCACTAAACCAAAAGTTGAGAAATTTTATTACCCTCTCTTTGGAACATGTGGGATTTTAGAATTGTCTCAGGATAAAATACCTCTTTATTTGCAGCAAGTCGAGGAGGTAATGTACCTTCCACAGCAAATCGTTATGTAATGCCCACTCTATAATCATAAATATGATGCCACATAATTATTTACAATGATAGTATTATTTTTAAATGTTTATGATATAAATAATAAACATTGGATTGAAATAATAATAAATAGTTTTATTTACAATGATAGTATTATGGAGGTTTGCGGTTGTAGGAACAAGGTTGAGAACTTTATGGAGATGTATTAATATAGATGCCCTAATGGAGATGCTAAACTTCATTTTTCAACATGCTCTACCACATTCATAGGACTCATATCTTAGCAAAATCGTTCTGCCAACTTGTATTATGTGCAAAACGTCATTGAGCCAAGCAACACGTGCTAGCTACGGCATGAATAAGCTATCCTTAAATAGGACCTCATTAAGTAGAGTCGAGGTCTATATGTCGTCCTCAACAAACCCACATATCTTCTCATTCCCTAGAAACTAAAGCTCAGCCTGATCTACAACTTTCATTTCACAGATTTTGTTTAACTAAACTGAAGACATCCAGAAAATAAAATTTATTAATAATTTTAGGGAAAAGAAAAGGGGTTACCTTCCATATGAGATCTCTAAGTCCTGGTCTTCCAATCCAAAGCTTACACAACCAATCTCGCATTTCTCGCTGCCCTATAATGTTTCCAGAACTCCACAGAGAGGTATAGTGGTCTCTCTCGTTATCCAAAAACATAGCTAAGAAATCTATATCATATGAGTATTCTAAATCACAGGAACTAACACTTTTAGGCGTCTCATAACTACCATTGTCAGAATCTATATTTTCTAGTGACTGGCATATCCTGATCCTCTTCTCTTTCCTAGACAGGTCAGAGTAGCTCAAATTATTTTTGCTGGGCAGGGATTTATTTCTAATAGCCTCAAAATCATCATCATCAATAGCAAGCCAACCCGCACGGCATACGCCTTTATGACGGTAACCAGGAGTCAGGTCCAGACACACAAATTCAAAGTTTTTGGAATTAACGAAATTTTGTGTGACAGCTATAGTTGTCTCCAAATTTAATACACAGTGCCACCACCCACTCGGAACATATATTGTTTCGCCAGGAAGTTGGGTACACTCTATCGGCCTGTCATTATCACCAAGAAGAGGATAGAAATCCAGCCACCACTGAAAAGAACATAATGATAGGGAACCGTAATGATAATATTTCAAGCAAAACTGGCGCAAAAGGAAAGAAAACAAAATGAAAGGGTCAGAGAACGCAAAATTATGGTACAAAGCAATACCTGCAAAGATGATGGAGTATCAATATTGACATCACCATCATCTTCATTCACATGTACTGTCACTCCTAAAGGAACTCTTCCGGGAGGATACAATGCCCACCTGATGCAAATATGATATTCAACACAAAGTACAAACAAAGGTAATGCTACTGGGATAAGGTAGGGGATCGAAGGTAATGCCAAAGAGACTAATATATCAAAGGGATCTTCAGAAAGACTATATTTACAAAGCCCTTGTTGAACGACCATTTCATCTGAAAGCTAGAGCTGTCAGAGAGATGAAGTTTATTTAATTTTAGGGTGTGTTTGGACACAAGTAAACCAATTTTTTACTGGTCTTTTTTTTTTTCGTTAACCATGGTTAACCTTGAAAAGCTGATTAGTTTTTAGTGGGATGTTAAAATAATTTTTAAAATAAAATGATTAAAATTGATTTGATGAAAAAGTAGGAGAAAAATGATTGGAAGTGTTTGGTAGTTAAAATTATGTGAGTGGATGAATGGTGAATTAAAGTTGATGTGATGTGTAAGGATGATTGGTTGATATCATTTAATTATAATGATAATATTGAGGATAGTGAGATTGAGTTAAAGTTGACAGGATAGTGAGATTGAGTTAATTGAGTTAGATTTTGAGTATGAGTATGAGTATGAGTTTATTTCTATCCAAACACCCTCTTAGTTTCCCAAATAGACACCCTCACATGCAGGAGATTATTTATGAAGCACAACATGTAGAACAATTTAAATGGTGGTGCTTATCAAATATCCACTACCAAGGTGTAACAGAACATTGGGATAGAGATTAGGGGGAAAAAAAATATGATGGTTCTGCTAAGTTCCCACCACTCCAGTTCCAAAGGCTCTTCATACACCCAGTGCCATCCATACTAAAATCACCTCCTATAATTTTCTTCATATCCTGAGGTCTTAGAGCGTGAGAAAATCGGTTCAGGAAATATGTGTTCTCCCAGTTGCTTCCAAAGGAAGAGAAGAGCGTCAAAACACATTTTACTGATTTTCTTTACATATGAAAAACATTTGAGTTCTAAATTACAATTATTCATCGCCACTTTCATGGATATTTAGTCTTGAATTGCTCAGTTCTATCTAACTCTAAATCTAAACTAAAATACTTTCCATTCAGTTCAACTGAACTCTAAATAAGATAACTTCACGTTTGTTTACACAAAAGTTAAAGCGATAGAATAGCGGCAGACTACTTTAAGCCATATAGTGTCCTTCACATGTTTGGCATGTACATGCTTAACAAGCATGATTCATCGATATTCCCCTTCTACACCTTTTAGCATCTGTCTGTTCAGTCAATAAGTAAACATCGTGGATGTTGCTTGTGCACAAGATTTATCTGAATGTTCTTGAAAAGTAGCCAGAGTCCAAACTTCCTTATTGTAGTATTCTATTAGATGTTATCTTCTATTTTTGAATGGTTAACTCATTCATATATGTTTCCTCATGAATCATGGAGAGTAATTTTCTCTTCTAATAATCATCACAAGTCTCATAGCATGTCCCGTACGACAACTGGTAGCTCAAATTAAAATAATTACGACCATCAAGAATATTATAACTTCATTAACCTACCTATCATAATATGAGAACACATTTGTGTATAATAAGAACTAATGACCAAATTTATGCTCTGATAACAAACATGTGCACTTTATGCTCTGATCAAAGTACATATTAATTTACATTTTTTACGCATACTAAAATATGACGGCATTTATAGTAAAGATCTTTCTTCGCTTTGTCATACAAGTATGATTCATGCATGATATACATAAATATATGTAATCTGCACATCATTTATATAGAAGCTTCTAACACCAATATAACAATACACAATCTATTGATATTAAGCAGCTATTGTTCGTACATATTATAGAAATGTTACGCAAGGTACTTGTTTATCGATATTATGGATATCATTGAACTATGCATTGTTTGAAGAAAAGAGTACTTGTATAAACAACACCCAGTTAATTAATTAGTTGATTAATAACTACATTTCACATCATATAATAATTCATCAACATACCCAGTATTATTATATGAAAAAATTCATATGTACATATATACAGTATGATATAAAACTAGATCACTGACACACACATACATGGCACAAAGTCTAATACTTTACCTTTTACGGCCACAGATGAGAGTATTCCATGCACTAGTAAGACCTGGATCGACGTGCCATGAGGCCCCAGATCTCTCTGGTCCAATAATAAGCCATCTAAAAGGCGGTCGTTTATCCATATCCAGAACATCAAAATAGTCTTCTTGAAACAGATGGGGAATGCTATAATCTTTCAACATATCTGGTGCGACTTCACCGAACTGCAATAGTAGAATCTCATTATTTTATAGCACAGAATGCAAACTTCAAATTAATTAACTAAGAAACCAGGATACCTTGTCATCAAAGATATAGAGAGGATCCTCATCATGTTGGACTTGCATGTAGGTAATATAATCTTTAAACTTGATATTAACTTTCTTTGGACTCTTTTGTGATATCCTAAACTTTGTATCTGAATATTTCATCAACAATTGTTCACTTGTCCATGATTTCCTTGCTGGCCAATTATCAGCCAGTCCATCAATCATCACCTGTCACAAGAAAAACATAAATAATTTACATCATTTTCATAATGTAAATCATTTGTATCATTTGTGGTTTTAACTCGCGGGGGAATAATATAAAATTAATTTAAAATCACAAAAATGGCAAGAGGGAGTGTAACACCTACATTTTGATATTTTATTAACTGGTGTATATATTTATTTATTGACATAAATCAAAGTATATAAGATATTTAATTAGTAAAATAAATTTTTCTTGTCCACCAAGTCAAATTTTAGGATAAAAACAGAGAAATACCAAATTATAAAGAACCAATCAAATTAATGTCTTGTTCTTCAACAAGACTCTGGCTCCTACACCTATAAACAGTAACTCTCCTTAAAGCAAAAAACCACACCTCACAATTCAAGTCTTGATCTAAAAAAATCTCTTAAAGATCCAAAGGCATTCTTAAAGATCTAAGGTCATTCAATCCGGAATTAAGTCTTCAAACCTCCAAAGCTCCAAAGTATGTTCAGTTGAAAAGAAAATAAAAAAAAAAAAAAGGCAGCAGTTATTCTTCAATAAAGAGACGACATCCAATCCGCTCAAGTTAAATCCAAGAAGATCAACTACGTTCAAAGCAACACTCAAGTTGCGTTCGTCGTGGAGCTAAAACAACATAGCATTTGATTCGAGAAAATGCTTTCAAGCCCTCGATTAGCCTTTTTGGATAGTTTTTGCTCATATATATCAATTTTTTTATGCTCTTATCAACGAGCATGATGACTTGGGGCGTTGGAAAGTTTTTGCTCAGAGCTTTATAGATAGTTTAAACTCTTATCAAGTAGCGTTGATAATTTGATTTGATGAAAGCGCTTCACATAATTGTCCAAATAGATAATATAAAATCATGAATGACTACTCACACCTCATAATTCAAATCTCAAATTCAAGAGCTCTAAGAAACTCTCTTGAAGATTCAAAGGACATTCAAGTTCAACTTCTATGTGCGCGCACATACACACACACACACAAACAAACAAACATAGATATATATAACCCCGTTGTACGTAGCAGCATTGCGGCTTTTTTACTTTTAAAAAATGAAAAAGTACAGAAAAATATTTAGAAACTTACTCAGGTGCTATCTCACAAGAGAGAGAGAATAACACCATCAACATCCATCATTACACTTCAATTTGTATCAAGATCATACTCTCAACTTTTTCACCTTTATTCAAAAAAAAATAAAAAAAATAGTCACACTATTTCCTCCGGATAAAGAAGATGACTGAATGAAACACCAACTTATCACTGCCTCGTGACTCTCATTTAAACTCTAGGTCAAGCCAAAATATAAAAAATTAATGGTAGTTATGGAGCTCCTAAACAATGAAAACGGATATAACAGTTTTGAATTCAAATTTAAATTTAAAGTTAACAATTCTGGATCAAGTTTAACCGACACACTAATTTAGGAGAACAACTAGAATTACTAAGTTGAATTCCAGGGAAAAACAAACAACATAGCAGGCAATTTGTGCAAGTAAGAAAAAAGAAAAAAGCAACCTTCCATTTTGATTTAAACACTGTTCTAAAAGACCAGGGGTAACAATTTGATATACCGGTTTTTTGCCATCATACTCTTCATGGAACTCTTCTAACGACATGTTCTTCCTCCTCTCAACATTTCCATCATCAAAAGAGAAACTTTTTAAAGAGGTATAACATCTGTATAATCTCCTGTAGAGGAACGACGAACTAAAACCTGCATGAATAGATATAAAGGTTCAAGTAATATGAAGTTGGAGAACCACACAATTTCATAGTTATCCTGATAATCAAATACCTTCAAAGTGCAAATTTTGTTTGCAAGCTTCATAATACTTGTCATGCAATCCTAGTCTGAGAAAAATAAAAAAATAAAAAAATGAAGGGTACAAAATGGGTTAAAATGAAAATGTCAAACTTCTTGAAACTTCAAAATAACCTACAAAATGTTCTGTTAGGGAGGAGGAATCAACAAACATACTGATGCAAGGTTGTCTTCTTCCACGAGCCTTTGTACTCAAGCTCATGATTTAAAATGCTGAGGCACATACCCATCCAAAGGGGCTCCTCATTGCATGATATATACATCACACTACAAGAAATAAAAACTAAATTAAAGGAAATTGGTAGCGTTATCACTGCATGGAGAAGCAATGTTTAAAAAGCCATTTAGAGTAGTAGGCCAGGTCTAAAGTTTAGAAGCATAATAGTACTTCACAAACTGAAAGCAGCTAGTCTCATAAGAACAAATTGAGGTCAACAGTGTGTTTCAGCTTATTTATTTATTTTAAGAATCTAAAGTAGTTTTCAAATGGTGGGAACTATACTATTAACAGATTTCTGATAGAAGATGATTTTTTCTTATTAGAAAGGTTGATACACTGCCATAGCATAAACCAAGTGTCAAAATAGAAATGGAAAATAAATAACATGCTGCTGCTCTATTCAACAAATTGCAAGAGCATTTGTATCCCAGCTTTACACATTTTACAAGTATAATATAATCTGCAACCAAGAATGCAAAACACCATTTTGTAGCAAACTTTAGTTGACCCCATGCTCCATTAGAATAAGACTGTATTCACTATTCAGTCTGCATCACCTCGCTCGAAACTACGACATACAAGATTTCGAAAACTTCACAGCAAGATTAACAGACATCCCCAATTGAATCTTAATGCATTGACCCAAACAGTAAAACAACACAAATGACAACTGACAGATTTTAATGAATTCTCTACATGCGCATATCAAAATCAACAATCGTTTGTTCAGACACCAAGATTGAGCTAACACGGAACAGAGACATCAGTAATCGCAACTCCACATGCAATCGAAAGCCGACGATGGATCAAACTGAAAATAACAAACTAAAATAAGATGACAACGGGCTGAGAAATAGACCTGCTCACGCAAGCGAGGCGACCAATATCGTGAGGCGCGAGCTTCGTTAGAATCGTGCATAATGTTTCATCGGGAAGAACGTGGAGGCCGCCGAGAGCAACCGTCCGGCGATGTTTCACCAGAGCGTGAGTGCGGACGGGACTCCATTCATCGCGGGAATTGGGGAGATCGGACTCCATGAAAACTCGAGTTATCCAGATGCCTTGAAAGCATCAATCATGCGTTGTATTTATGCTATTGAGTGGATAATAATGCTCAATAACTTTATTCTCCTTATGATTTCTCGCGGGAGGGGGGCGGGGGTGGGCGATTTCGGCGCTTTGGGTGAATTTCGGCGCTTTGGGTGAGTTCCGTAACCGCGGCGGCAACGCGTGAGCTGTTATTCGAACAAAATTGTCTGCGAACACGGCTCGTTTGACTCGTAAAAACTCGAGTTCAATTTGTTCTTATAATTAAACGAATTAATCACAACCACTTAATCGAATTTGTGTACTAGCAAGATTGAGATGGGATCAGATCAGCCGATGTTGAAGAATTTTTTTCCGAATGTTTATTTTATTAGTATTGAGCTGGGTTTCATTTCTTTTTTAAATGAGTTAGGCCGAGCCGACTCATTTATTTATCAAACACGAGCTTGAACATGAGATATTTTGGATTGACTCCACTGAACAACACCTTTGAAGATGATATATATTTTTTTATAACAAACACACATATAAGGCATATAATATCATTTGATATTGAATTAATAAATAAATTATAAAAAAATATTCTACAAAAGATATGATTTATGAATTTTGCTATTTTAAAATTGTGTTTGAGATTATTTCATATCACAAGATTCATTAATATTTTTTTATATTTAAGGAGACTCATTAACAATTGATTAAGTGTTAATAGTTTTTGTGATTACTTTTAGATCCCGTGAAAATGCATATCTTGCATGCTCTGCTATTTCAGTTTTTTTTTTTTATTATTACTTTTATTTTAAGTATTACATATTTCATACATTCAGTTTACAAAGAAAATACCAAATATTATAGATGAAGAGTGAAAAATTACTTACAAAATAAAAACGTGCATAAAAGTAATTAGTAATAATTATTGAGTATAGGTATAAATTAAATATGCTTATAATATATATTTATGACGTAAAAGATAAAAATTGATAATATACTAATAATGTTTATATGTATACATAGTAAAATATTTTTAATGATATATATCAATAGTAAAAAATTAAAAGTTTGCACAACCCCC